ACAAGTAAAAATATTATATTTAATTTATTAAGATTTTTGGCCTCAGCTATTTTCAAAAAATCACAACTGTCATACATCTTAAAATGACATATTATACATCACTTCATGGCTGTAAATATTCAAGATAACAATTCAATTTTTTTGTTACTTTAATTCATCCTTAAAATCTATCTATTTAAAGAAAAAAATAAATTTTATCTTACCGTAGATAGTGATACGAGCTGGGTTCCAGAGATCCCGTTCCTAGCTGCTAGAGAGGTCATTATCCAGGTCACATGGGAAGGCAGCTTCAATACACCTACCTCTAAGAGGTTGGCCAGCAAAGCCATCGCCTTCTCCATATCCTGCCGAGGAAACTCGAAATCTCCAGCCAGCCAGATTCTCAGATAATCGGACTTCAGCTGTGGTAAATGGTGACAAACATCAGCCAGCAAGCAGCAAGACATAATATCCTCCACCACCAAAGAGTACAGCAGAGCCAACAGGATACACTGTGGGCTATTCAGCTCCATGTCAGAGACACCAGATCCCTGATAAATGTAAGCTCTCATAGCATATCCAGCACCAGCCCGGATCTTGCTGAGAATGGAGCCATGGCACAAAGAGGCAACAATTTCTAATGCCTGCGGTCTTATGGGCATTGTTTCCATTTCTGTAATTCAGAAATAAATGATTAATAAATAATACTCTGATATTTACAATAGAAATCATATTGTAAAGTAAAATAACAGAACTGATTAGAAACAACAACTAGTTGTGACCTTAATTCTTAGCCTTAGAGATTTTCAAGGAAATAAGAATTTTGGCTATCTTGGGCACAAAACCTTATTCATATTTTGAAACAGAGTTAATACAAAGTATTCTCAACAAATTTTTAACAAACTTCACTCAGTGTATGAAGTTTGATCAAAATCCAGTTACCATAATTGGAAAACTAATATACAAGGAAGGGAAGTTGTAAAGGCTTTTAATAAAATAATTACAATGAAATATTGTATTACGTAAAAAAAAAGAGAGGGTTGCTCGTAGACTAGAAACAGAAGAAAATTACCCTTATTTTCAGTTTCATGTAAATCTTAAAAGTGGGTCTGTTAATAAAATATATTAATCAATATATTTTTCTTAATCTAAATATCGAGAACTGCCCTCATATACTTTCTAAAAAGAACTAGTTTTAGTGGCCCTTAATTAAATAGTTCAAGATATATAACTTATTCTGTTACAACTATTGTGACTGTATTTGGGAGAGAGGAAACAGCATTTCAAATTTATTTTTCTGATTATAATTAAAGTTAAGTATGCTTTCAAAAGGGTAGATTCTGAGAAAAAATATTTAACTAATTTCCATTATGATGTGACTCTGTCCATGGAAATAAACGAGATCAAAATTTTGAAATGACTGCCACCGCCCCTGGGACTTAGCAGAGGCCTCAATACAGCCCAAGGACTTCGTGGAGGCCTCAATGAGGCCTGTGGGATTTAGTGGAGTTCTGAATGTGGACCATGGGCCAAAACATTTGGAGACCCCCTAACATAAATGCTAAAATAATAATGACATTAATAAGAGAATTTAAAATGTCTTCGACATATTTATACAACAGACAACTTCTTAAAACTATAAGAAATATATTGATGATATTTACCTGAATATAGTGTTTGAAAACAAAGAAAACAACAATGAACACAAAATTGGTTTACCCAAACAAATAACCATCAACAGGAATAACCTTCCTGCTTAGTGACGTCAAACATGTGCTGGAAAAGTTTCCAAAACCAGCGTTTCCACTATATTTTTTTAAACTTCCCTTTTGGTCTTCAGATTTTCTCCTTTTTTCCCTCAGAATGAATTTAAACATGCCTTCTCTCCAAATATATACAAAATAATACACAATATTATGTGTAAATACTCGTTTGTGTTTAAACTTATATTAAAAATTTATTTTTTTTTATTTTTAACTTTTATTATGATATTTTCAACTGTATTAGTATGAATACATCAAGTAAATGTGTACATAGGAATATAATCACATGAAACACGCTTATTTAGAAATCATCCATTGGTAGCACTCTAATAATTTGTCTACATGAGGAGATCACGAGGCCATCTCCTTTTCAGACGTCTCGGAGGGTTATCAGGAATCGAATAGGAAGCAAGGTTAGAAACAAGAGGATTCGGATGGTTATGAAGTTTATTATGGAAGGATAGGTATCTGGATTTGGCCAAATCGGAAACATATGGAACATTGAGGTCTTTATGATTTATTTTATTTGTGACAAAGTAAGGAGCATTGAGGATTTTACGAAGGATTTTGGATTGTAAAGATTGGATACGAGAGGAATTGGAGCCCCACAGCTCAACTCCATAAGTCCAAATAGGTCTTATTATAGTCATGTATATGAGTCGTTTGTAATTCATTGAAAGTTTAGAGCGTTTGTCCAGTAAGTGTTGGAGTAAGCGGAAACGTCGAGCAGTTTCTTGTCGTTTCAGTATTGTATGAGGATTCCAAGTGAGACGTTTGTCCAGCTGGAGTCCTAGGTATCGGATTTGTTCTACAGGGATAAGTGGGGTGTTATTAAAGGATACTATAGGACAGCAAGTCATTGGTTTACGACGAAGGGTAAAGGTGATTTGATGGGATTTATTGCAATTTATTTTAATCCTCCAGTTATGACACCATTCTTCCAGGTTTGTGATGTGGGATTGAAGGGTTTGGGATGCAATAGATGGGTCGTTATTGACTGATAGGATACATTTGTCATCAGCATATGTGGTGATGACAGTGTTGGGATGGGTTGGGATGTCAGCTGTATAAACTGTGTAAAGGATAGGACCTAGGATACTACCTTAAGGAACACCTGCAGACTGGGAAAAACGGGATGTATATACATTGTTGTGATTTACTTTAAAGTATCTATCAGTAAGGTAGGAACGTATAATGAGGAAGTAGGTAGATAGTAGGAATTTTCGGAGTTTGTACAGCAGTTCCGGGTGCCAAACTTTATCAAACGCCTGTTCAACATCGAGAAAGGCTCCCGTACAGTACATACCGCGCTCCAATGCAGAGGATACTACGTCTACCACACGATGGCATTGCTGTATAGTGGAATGGGATGTGCGGAATCCAAATTGGTGATCAGGGATTATGTGGTTAGAATCTAGGATGGGAAACAGGCGTTTTAAGATGAGCTTCTCCAGGATTTTGCCCATGATGGGTAAAAGAGAGATAGGACGGTAAGAGGATGGGTATTCTGGTGGCTTTTTGGGTTTATGTATCATTTTGACTACAGATAGTTTCCAAGGGTCAGGAAAATATGTGGAACGGAGTACGGCGTTATAAATGTAAGTGAGGAATAGAATGGCTTTTCGAGGAAGCAGCTTAAGAATATGGGAAGTGATTAGGTCGTGGCCAGGAGCTTTGCGGGAGGGTAATCCGTGAATAATATTGGATATTTCGGAAGGATGAAATGCTTTAGGAGGAGGAGTCATTTGGAGTGGAATATCCAAATTATAACTAAATGTTTTTATTTTTTTAAGTTACTTACTTAATTTTAGAATTTTTTTTATTTTGTTCTGTCTAATTATGTTTTAGTCAACTTTACGATAAAAGGTTGTTAATATTTCTAATGTTATAAACTAGTAATTAAATAAAATGCCTTTCTGTAATGTTTCTATGTTATTTGTGTCCGAAAGTTTAGAAATACATTTGTTGAGTTATTGATATAAAATTTAATACAAAATAGTTTAATTTAAAGTTGATAAATTTTGTTGTCATTAAAGTTGAAAGCTTCAGCCCGAAAGCCCCCTCTCCCTCCCTCCTCCCCGTAGATCCGCCTGTGGTACCAAAGGAACTTCCTCCATACCTGCTGACTTGCCAATTGCTTCGAACAAATCTTTCTTGCTGATAAAATGGTCTTCACCGTAATAAACCTGCTTAATATCATTCAGACTGATCCAGCATTTTGATCCCCTTTTAACATCATCTTGAAATATTCTATTCATCTGTCTACTATATATTCGTTTAGCCATATAATGGATACTAATCCTTGTTTTCTTTTTCGAGATTTTGGCACTTCCTTTGTCGTTCACTTAGTGCATTTTTCCAATGTTTGGGTCCAATTTTGCATTTTCCCTCATTTTGAGACCAAATACTAACAATCAGTTCCAACTACCTAGAAGAACTTATAGCTTCGCCCTTTCCATCTTTGTGCAAAGAGAATAATGCATTCAATATTAAAGTTTCCTATTTTCTTATGATATGGCCCAACTTCCGAACAAAATAAAGGAAATAAAAATGATTTTTTTAATATTAACATATGAATTTTACTAAACAACCCATCAACTATTCATTAAATGTAGTTCACATTAGGTATATATTATTTTAGTTTTAAAACAGGTATTAATATGACTCATTTACGGGGAAGTATATACAATTTAAATTACCTCTAAGAATCAGTAAATATATAAAACAAAGTATTAAATTGAAAACGTTAAATAAAAAATTCAAGATATTCAACAAAGTATTTTTGAATTAAGTTTTATTATTATAATTATATAATTTTTATAATAGAGGCCTTCTCAACAACCTCCGTATAGAATAAAGGAAGTTAAATTAAAAAAAATAATAATAATAAATTAAAATAAAATTTTAATTTTTTTTACAATTAAATTATTGTATTAATATTTGTTCGTTAATACAATATAATGTACCAAAAATGTTATTATAGCACTATAACTAAGCACTGAATGATGTAGAGATCTGAAGGCATCTACGCCAGTACCACCTTTCTGCCGTTTAAGTGCATTTTCTACGAACTACTTGAAATATTTAAAAAAATTATCAGTGTTTTAGAAAGAGAAATATATTCTCCAGATGTTTTATTTCAGCACGTTTTGCGTTATTGTTGGCTGTTTAATTACAAACGACGCTTGATTTTCAACTTAAAATTTTTTTGTTAAAAAAATTGACTTTACTGGTGTTTTTTATTGCCTAAGCCAATTACTTTTTAATAACTTTTCATGTTTTATTATTTTCTGACTACCCAGCTTTAATAAAAGACCAACTATGACGAAATTTAGCCAAATGCTGGTCCACCGTGTATTAGGAATAAAATATAAATGTTTAGTATGTTTTTAGAAAACGTCATCATAAATTTCATTCAATAATTTTACTACCTCTATGGTAATAGGACACTAACTAAAATAAAATAAATTGACTTTTCATTTTAATTCTATAAGTTATTTTTATAACTTAAAAAGCTATTCTTTTCCTTTTTCATTCCCAATAATTTTTATACATTTCAGTACAACTGGTTTAAAATAGTTTTGTAAATTTAAAACAAAATTTTCGAAATGGCAACAATTTATAATGCAAAATTTTAATATTTAAATTGGATTTGATAATGAAAATCTAAATGTAATTAGTTTTGGGATATTTTTCCCTCTTGATACATGAAACACAGTTTTGTTCTGCTACCAGCTGATAGATCTTTTCAACTTCCATTACTGAAAATGGCCAGCCGACTGTTACTCGGACCTGTATTAAGGAATTTTTCCGGACCAAGGGGCCTTACTAATGTAAGTCTCAAAACTAAGTATTTGGTTCCTATATTTTACGTGTTGTTGAATTTTTAGTTTCAACCAATTAGTTATGCGGCTAGTTGAAATGTTGCTATTGAGTTATTGTAAATAGTACTCAGCATTTCACTAGGTGTAGTTAATTGTGATTTAACCACAAAAATCCTATTATAAAACGTTTTTGTCATTTTTTTAAATGTATGGAATTGTCTTCAAGTGTATGTTATCAGTCTCAGATTTTTTATTAGATTATGCTATCAGTAATGTATTTAAATAGATTTTTCCGCTTACAGGTGAATTTAACTCATTTCTGTACCTTTTCAATTTTTTTCTTGTAATTTTGTTTTTCTGATTTATAGTAAACCTAGTAGGCCAACTGATCCATAGAATTAAGCAGCCACATTTTTGTATGTTATTTTTCTTATAGAATAGCCTAACTTAGCTTCCATATCCCAAAACCCCTATTCAGACATGATATTATGTTTTCTAAATGCATTCATTGAGTGTATGCATACACTGCTCACAGTATCTGATTATTATTATTATGATTTCTTTGAATACGTTAATTATATCCATAATTAATTTTATTTGTCCACTCCATTCATAATTATATTTGTTATGGAGTGTTTTTATTATTAATAGATTGATTAGGATAGAGGAGAGGTTGTAATTTGTGTTTGAAACCTGGAAGTGTTAAAATTATAATCAACATTTTTATTTTTTGGAGGATTATTAAGAATTATCTATTATTATAATTTTATAATGGTTAATATAATACATTATTTTATAATTGATGTACTTCTGCAGTCACAATTTATATTTTAAACACATCTCTCCATATCCTATATCATGTAGTTGATAATGAACATAATAGTTTTATATATTGTCTAACATCAAACACATTTTCTGTTATCTGGAATAAGCTCTTTTTTTATCCATTTTTTTCCTAGTGCCTTATAAGCAAACATATGTGGTTAGAACACATTTTCCATTGAATATGAACATAAGTATGAATGCTTGGCTACTTGAAGGATTTCATCTATTGTGTGCTCAAAGTGTCTGGAAACCAGCTGCTTTCTAATTCAGCTATGAGATAATTTTGTTCAGCTTTTAACAGACTTTATTTTCAAATCAATTTGTTATCTCTAATGTTTAACTCAAGAATCATAATGTTCTTGTAAAACAGTAGAGAAAATCTTCATATATTATATCTTTGTTTTTATTTATTTATTTATTGAAATTTACAACTGTATTACATGGAAAATACAATAAGTAAATGTGACATTGGTAACATGACATGTACAACATGAAGAGAAACTACCCATTGGTAGAACTCAAATATTATTTCTCAAAGGTGTTTTGTTGGGACGCCATTATTTTATCATTTCTTTATTAAATACAATGATTGAGTCCTTATTTTGAAGATTCTCTTCTCCTTTAGGTGGGAAAAAAGTAATATCCCCTTGAAATTACAGGGCAAAAAATTATGAAGGGAAATAAACTCCATTTGTGAATAATTCAAAATCTAGGTACTCTGTTGTTGATTACACCCCTAATTATTTGAAATATTAATTAACTCTCTTCAAAAAAAAAAAAAAAAAAAAAAAAAAAATTGAAATCTATTAGAAATTTATTTCATTACCTTTTTCTGCTTCTTCTTCTTTTTTTTTTTACTATTATTTATATTCTTTATGAGAGCTCTGTTATAAACCATTTATTTGGTGTTCAGCTATAGTATGAGTACAATGTGTACTGACCAAAGGAGCAAAATAGTGGGTTCCAATTTTTATCAAGGAAAAACAATGTCAAGATTTGTAATTAGTTTCTTGAAAAAGTCTAATATACAAATTTCCACAGATATCAATAAATTTATTTTATTTCAAATTTGCTTCTAGGCTCCACCACCCTTAAATGTTTTTTTTGAGAATTACAAAACATGTGATTTTTTTCAAAATGATTCCACATATCAACCAGAATATTAAAAGATATTTAGAACCAAGTTTATGTGAAATGACACAACTAGACACTTGTAAACATATTAGAAAATAAAAGATTATGAAGGAAAAGAAATTTTATTGTTAAAATTATTATATTAAATATAAATAAATCCCCTCCCCCCCCCCCAAAAAAAAAAAAAAAAATTGGAACCCGACTATTATTAAGAAAGATATAGCTTATTGTATATAGCTAATTTTCTTTTGCTTGGTCGATTATAATTACTGAGAAAATTTGAATTGATTCTTATATCTTTCTTTTATATAAGATTTTTTATATATAGATTCTTTTATACGATATTTTACATTGTTTCATTTTCTTATTATTTTGTCATTCATTAACTGGTCAATATTCTATGCCTACTTGGCTTTATCCAACACTAATCTAACAAAATAAAGTTTATTTTTGAAGAGAAGGATGGTTGGGATGATCAGTCAAAATAAATGTTGACTGATCACCCTAACCACCCTTCTCTTCAATTATTGAGTCAACCATCATTCCACAATTAAGTTTATTTTTGATGAATTTCTGTACATTTTCTTTGTTCTTCCTATTTTCGGAAATAACACGTGATATCCAATTTTCCTTGACCATCGTAAAAGATGTCACTATGTGCACCTTTCAGCAAACATCTCAGACTTCTGCGTCATTAGTAGGGTTTTTTCCCTCTCTGTTGATATTCTGATCAGGACCCAGCCGACTCCTACCGTCTTCGGCTTCATGCCTGTACTTGTAGCACTGCTGCCTGCTACCAGGGATATTTATTGACCTCCTGGTCTAGATCCGACGTGTTCATTTGAAAGCAGAGTCACCTCGGACATGATGCGGTTCTTCACCGTGCACGGACGATCTTGGCAGTAGCGTCCTCGAGGTCTCCACTTACAGTTTCTCAGGTCTATTGGCTTCTCCGCTGGTTTTGAGTGCGGACCAGCCTCTAGCCCTTCCCTAGCTAACAGTACTACCTCTCCTCAGCACCTTGACCCCTTACATCCACCACGTACATCTTATCCAGTTTTAGATAGATAGTTATAGTTTGATTAATATTAATGTTTCTTAGTTTTGATTCTGTTACTCTTGTATTATGAATAGTTATGGAATAATTTCACTTCTATAAATCATTTAATGTTAGTGAAGGAAGTTATTCGACTGTTCTACATATCATGGGTGATAAATATTCAGGACACAGTTTTTTTTTTTTTAATAATTTTTTATTTATGCCAACGTTTCAACCCAAACATGTGGGTCATCTTCAGGGCGTGATTTGAGCACTGAGGGTGGGCACAAACTATGCCCATATCCAATTCTTTTATTTTTATCATTTTATCTACCCTATTACCCACCAATGACTACGACCATTTTAACTAAACATTTCTTTTTTTTTTTTTTAATATCTAATACTAAAATTGGATCTAGTAGTCAGTTATAGTCATCTGTATAAGTGCAGTTGTTGGTTTTATGAAAATTATTAACCATATTGGAGTAATAGTTATTTGGCATTGTCTCCACATTGTCCTGATCTGTGTTAAACATTAAAATTGAAAATATTGTTCCAGGTGCCCAAAAGATGGCGAGCTACAGCTGCTGCTGCCCAAGATTGTCAAGATATGCTTGTCAATTGTCCTCCTACAAGAACTTCATGCTTAGATAATGGGTTAAGGGTGGCCACCGAGGACACCGGTGCACCAACTGCCACAATTGGCTTATGGATAGATGCCGGATCCCGTTTCGAAAATGAAAATAATAATGGTGTTGCTCATTTTCTTGAGCACATGGCTTTTAAGGTTTGTTATTTTTAATTTATAACTCTTTAATTTTTAATTATTTAGTATGTTGAATTCTTCCTGAACTCAACCTAAGGTTTATCCTAATTGCCTGTTATAAAAAAATAAATTATTATAGTTTTATATAATAAATTTAAAAAATAAGTTATTATATAAAAAATTATAAATCTTTCTATTATCAGAATTTATAATTATTCACATAATTTAAAAAAATTACAGTTACTTATTATTTTTATTTAAAAAATAGCAATAATAATAAAAAGCTTAGCGAACCCATAGGTTCGATGCTGATACCACCATTGCTTATTACACACCTCCCACTCATTACACACCGTTTGCCGTCCAAACCTAGTCACTTCAGATCGGCTTTAACGCAATCTTCCCAACTTCGCTTCGGTCTACTCCTCGGACGTTTACCATTCAGTCCAGCAAATATTAACCTTTTAGGAACTCTTTCGTTACTAAGCCCAACAATTTCACAAGCCTATTTGATTTGCCACGATGTAATCACTTCAATTATATTAATAGGGTACAGTTCACACAATTCAGCGTTGTGTAACCGTCTGAACTCTCTAATTAACTCACCCTTCTTCGGTCCGAATATTTTATGCAATACTTTATTTTCAAAAACCTTAAGATGTTGCTCATTCCTTAATGTAAGCGGCTACATTTCGCTATCCATAAAGAACTGTAGGTAAGATAATGGTTTTATAGATTCAAGTTTTTAAGTTCCGGGGCAAGAGGCGATTTAAGTAGTTATGTCACAGAAAAATAACAAGCATTTCCCGTCTTCAGCCTAACCTTAATCTCATCTTCAATTTTGTTTTTTCTAGTTATCGTAGACCCTAGATACCTAAACTTCTCTACCTGTTCAAGCATATTATCTTCTATATCGATATCACCAGCAATATTGCCATTTTTGCAGCTAACCATATATTTTGTCTTAGGCCGTGGTTACACTGGATCCGTCACGACACGATACGACGACTCTACTGTTCAACTCAAAAACATATGATTTTCATTCATGTTTTAATGTTTATCATCCATTTAACTGTAATATATTCATTTAATATACTTAAAAATAATTGTTAATTCCTTTAAGATTGTTTAATAATTAATAAGTATTAATTACAGTATTATTTATTCCATAAATAATCCAAAAGTAATTCAAAATACAGTAGAAAATTACAACAATAGCTATTTTCATTTTATTGTAAACAAAAAACAATTATTATTGTTATTGAAATATCTAATACACTTTCATTATAGAGAAAAATAAGTTGTGATTTTAAATGGCCAATAGTACGCAAAATATAGAAATTAAAAATAACATTAAACATTCCTAATTTTATTTATTATATATTTTAAATTTAAAAAATAAAGATAAAATATATTTTTTTATTTAGCTCGTCATCACCTTTATGCTATAATATAATTAAATATTATTTAGATACTGGTTAGTACTTTAAGTTATATGTAATTCATATGTAACAAATTAAAAATCTCATTTTAACAAAAATTATCTTATTTTAAATACAATATATATTGTATATTTTAATCCGTTATAATTAAATGTTGATTAAAAATAGCGAAATAACACCATATTACTTAAAAAGGTTAATTCACATCGTGTTTCTTCAGTCTCTATCTATCATAAACCAAATTATTCAAAATATTATGTAAAAATATTTGTTTTCGTCTATTAATTAATTAGATTTTTCCAAAATTCATATTGGTACTATTTTTATTAATTATAGTAGATAATTTTGCACGGATTAATTAAATCCACACCTATTGTTAACCAAAGACTTTTTTTTCGTTTCATTTAACTTCTATGGTTTCAAATCTTTAAGTTATCGTTTATTTCTTTTGCAATTTATTTCAGCAATTATAGTCATCCATTATAATTCATACATAATATTGTAAATATCTCATTAAATTATTAATTTTAATCCATGACTATTGCATCAATGTTTAAATAAAAAAAGAAAAAGGTTACCAAATGAATTAACATATTAATTCTCTAATTTATTTTTCATTTTTTCAATACTTGCCAATCAATAAAGAAATTATCCAAACCATTCTGTAAAAAAATCTATTTTTGCCTAGTCATTAATTGCATTATTTTGAAATTCATATTAAAATTATTTTAATGAAATATATTAAACAAACAGTTCGGTAGAAGGAGCTTGGATAGGCAAACCCGCCCAACACGTCGTCGTACGACGTCGTGGGAATTTCAAACCGGATTGTTTCCAAACAGATTTTTCAACACGACGGTCCATAAATATCAGTACTAATTCCTTCAAAAATAAAATTAACACATAGAACAAATACAGAAAATTAAAGACAAGGCATTTGAAATATTAAATAACAAACTTAAGCCCCGGAAACTAATTAATAAATGATAATGCAGTAAAAGTATAAGAAAATAGGAATAAATATTGCAAACCAAAATATATTTTGTATCAAATGAAACTGAAAACATTAAAAAAATTGAACATAAATAATAACATTAATTTGAACTTTATAGCAATATTAATTAATTTAAAGATAAAACGAAATGTAGAAAGATAGAATTAAAAAGTTATAAAAAAAGGTTATTTGATAAACCATTATTTATCCGAATATTATTTTATTTTTTTTACTTTTAATCAATGACAGATTTAAGTTTCGAAATTCCATAAACACTCCAACCAACGAATTTTACATATAAAACTCCTTTTTAATATTAATTAAGAAAAAAATATTTATTATTTTACGTTTTGTATAACTTATTTCTCATTTAAATATTACACTGAACCTTTTCATACTATTAATTTATGGATATTAGGAAATAACAATTTTTGACAATCCATATATTTATAATTAATTAGCTGTTAGACATTGTAATGATTTTTTATTCATTAATATATTTTAATATTGTTATCCTTCTTTGCAATTGTTGTTTGTTTTTTTTCTTTTAATAATTTCCATCACTATACCTACGCCCTCCACCCATCAACGTCACCTATCAGTCAGCCAATAATTGTGATCACGCAATCTATTCAAAACATCAAATTCTCAACCTCGCAAAACAATATTAAAAATAAATAAATTTGACAAATTAAGCTTTGAAATGAAATTGAATAAAATATCTTTTGGCCATTTTGATGCACGGCAAGTAATCTACTAATAATTAACATTTCATAAAAATTTATAACTGATAATGTTAAAAATTAATAATGTCAAAATTTCATTGTGATGAAACAAAAATAATTAAGATAATACATAAAAAAGTAGAATTACAGATCAGTTTAAAATAATAATGAAAACGAATATAAAGAACAATGATAAGAACATAATACAGATAAACTTCATGGAATGCTGATGAAATATCATGAATTAAAATATATCCAATTTAATTGGAAACATGTAAAAAGAATACAGACACTCGCGCGCGCGCACGCACACACACACACACATACATTAATTTTATAATAATAATAAGACATAACTATATAACTAATTTTAAAATTACGATTAGAAAACAATATAAAAAAGATGTTATTCGTAAAGTAAATTTATCGCCCTAAAACCCATCCCATATCCTACCTACCTACGTGAAGTGAAATGTATCCATTTCTTGCAAAAATATTATCTATCGAAGAATAGAACAGAATTTAAATAAATAGGTTAAAATAACTTATAAGTAATACTAAAATTAAACACAGAAATGTCTAACACTAGAAGTAGTTTTTTGCAGACTTTGATAATAAACAATATTAAAAAGTGCAGCCAGCAATAGAACTAGAAAGATATTGGAATAAGCATACGTTACCAGATTCATATATAAGGCCTTTAATTTTAGATGATATATTAAAATTATAGTAATAAGCATAACCCTAATAATATATAAAGTATGAGTTTTATATTTTCTTTGAAGTATTAAAACAAAAGTATAATATTCCTAATGTTCAATTCTATTTAATTACTATTTATCCTATTAAAAGTCGTTACATATTTTCATTTTCACTAATGAAATTTATTTTTATTATTCTGTCATTTTTATACTGGATTTGAATTAATTTTGGATTATATGTCGAATAAATAATATTGATTATATTTATTGATTGGAAAACATGAAAAAACAATTTTGATAAAATTAAACTATTATTTAGTAAGTATATTGGACAAGGTTAGAATTTCTAACTTAGAAATAATGAATGAATTTGGAATCCGAGACATGACGTTGTCATGGTAAGTGCATGTTTTTTGAACAGACAGTGCAGAGCCCCTTTTCCGTCGTGTCGTATGATTTACGTATCCAGTGTAACCACGGCCTTATCCGTGTTTATTCTGAGCCCTAGTTCTTTACTGGCTTTCATTAACGTTTTTGTATTTAGTTTTATAGTTTCCGTGTCTTCACTTAACAGAACTAGATCATCCGCATAGCCAAGCACGGGTGTTGTTCCACCCAGATCCAACCCTTTTTCGGTACGTATTACCTCTCTAATGTTATGTTTTAATTCCAAATTGAACCGGACAGGCTAAAGGGAATCACCCTGTTTTAAACCCGATCTAATTTTTCGAATATATCAATACCGATTCTACAGTTATAGAACAAGTCAGAAAATCATAAAAAAAAAACTGTATTAATCAGTTAAGAAAGACAAAAGTACCTGAAATTTCTTGTCATTTAAGTTTACCTCAAAAGTAAATTCCTATTGGTTTTATATTACAATCATAATTGGGCTCATGACATATAAGTTTAGCTGATTTTTTTTTTTCTTTTCAAGTTTAGATGCATAGTAGGTCAAAAGAGGTTTATAACTAATTCCATTTCATATTATACATCTAATTTTAATGAGAGCATCAAGTCTGACTTAATTATCATTGTCAATTGCCATTGTGCTTATGTATGTGTGTTTGTGTGTGTGTGTGTGTGTGTGTGTGCACACTCATGCGTGTAAACATTCTAACTTAAAAACCAAAAGTTGTATGCTACTGAAGTTTCATATTTAAGGTAGGCCCATAATATCATTCATATGCCCAGGATATTACAGCAACTTTTTCCTGAAAATAAACTAACGGGAAGTAGCAATTTATATTATCGAATTAAAGCATTTTACAATTTTTTTTCAAAAATAGCTTTAACAATTTTTATTGAACTGTTTACATCAATGTAAAATCAAATGGTCTCTAATATCTGGTAGGTATTTTTTTATTAACTAATAATTACAATTTGATCCAACCAAATAGCAACATCCATCGGTCAGTGCCATTTATTATAAATAAATCATTTCTACATAGTTACATATTCTACTATGAGTAATACAATATAGTATAACGATATAATAAAGTGTAACATAATAATAATCTAATATATATTAAATATTAAATGATACTATTTGAGTTCTATAAGATTATATAATGTAACATAAAATATAAAAGATAATTAAGATTATATATAGAAATAAATATATAGCGGTAAATCACTATATGATATGAAATGGTATTATCCCCATTCAAATAGTTTGACAGGGCTTAGTGCCATATTTTTTAATTTTATTTCTCTAAAGTATCTTCAATTTTATTTATTTCATAAAATTAACCTTTTCACATTGTAATTAGTAATAAAAAATGGTGAAATATAAACAATGAAATAAATTTATTATTAACAAAAGAAGAGAAATAAGGGATAGATAGGAATTAAAGCTTACCAAAACAGCCAAGATATCCTGATCTTTCTTGATCTTCTCCATTTACAATTATAAATATAGCAGATTTGATGAGTGGGAAACAGTTAATAATTAATTGTTTTAAATTACTATGTTATAACATCTATAATTTATACTTTCACTTTCTTATATTTGAAAATATATATTTCTACTCCTATTACGGTGGTAGGTGAAAGTTGTGTGTTGCACTCATCGCAGTAGATTTTTATAAACTGTGCCTACTGTTCTGGTTAAGTGTAAAATGTTTTTTTGTTTAGATTTTGCTCATTTATGTTAACAGGGAACTGCCAAGCGCTCTCAAGTAGACCTTGAACTGGAAGTTGAAAATATGGGAGGTCACCTCAATGCTTATACCTCGAGAGAGCAAACTGTATTCTATGCTAAGTGCCTCAGCCAGGATGTTCCCAAAGCACTCGAAATATTGGCTGACATCCTCCAGAATTCCAAACTGGGTAAGCTATTTCTATTTATGCCAGTACAGAACATTATAATTATATTTGTATAATTTTTGAAACGATCCATTAAATTAAAAATATGTATGAATTCATCTGGATCATCGAGGTTGTAGATAAGTTAGTAGTATCCCTTGCTCTTAGAACTAAGTGGCTTCTAGGCCTAAACAGAAATGAAATTTGCTTAATTAGTGAAGTTCTTGCAGACATCTAAAGATTTGAGGATTAGTTAATGATGAATTCTGCCACTTATGCGGACAAGCACCAGAAACTGCTCTATTTTATTTGACAGACTCACGATTTATATGGCCTAGATATAGGCTTCTGGGCTTATACAGAATCCTAGAACAGAAAATTTCCTTCGTCAAATGGCTCTCTGTTTTGAACTTCATTCAAAGAACGAAAAGGTTTGATATAGAGATGGAAGTGGTGCGATGTATCACAGACGGATCTATGGGGAAAGGGGATGGGGGAGCTTTCGGGCTGAAGTCTCTCCCAAAATGGTTGAATATAACCAAGTATTATGAAAGAAATATAAAAAAATTATTTCTAAAAGTATTATTGTTGGTGTAATTACATTTAATAAGAATTAATTAAATACCATTTCATGTAGGTATTTAGTTTCTTTTTTCTTTAATAATGGTCACGCTTATATAAAGAAAACAATTTTCGGGCTGAAGCCCCCAAAATTAAATCCTGGACCCGTTAGTGATATAAATCATCATTGGTATCGTTTATATAATTAGACCAGTCAAATGGCACAAAAAAAAGAGGTCTAGCTTGCAAAAGGTCATGTAATTCAAATTTCTTTTTACTTTCACTTACCTATGCAATATATAGTAAGGGTAAGTATTGCGATCGTGAAAATTTTCGAGTCTGAGATTTCTATGGAAATACACGTTTTGAGGTACCCTGAGTCCAAATAATCAAGTCCCGAAAAATGGTCTGTGTGTATGTGAACACTCTAGCTCGAAAACGAAAAGTCGTATGAAACATTTTTCTCAAAAACGGCTCTTAAAGATTTTGATTAAACTCGGTGTATCATTGTATAATCAAGTGGTCTTTAATATCATTTAGGTCTTATAGCCGTTGATGTCACTTTTCAGGGCTTAAATGCCCAATGTTCATATGCGTCTTCCTCTAAAGTACCTTTAATATGGTCCATTTCAAATATTTAACTATTTCTCATTATTAAAAGTTACAAAACAATGGTAAATATAAAGTTGAAATAATTTGATAATTAAATAAAAGAGAAAAAAATAAAATTGCTTATCCGAGTCGAAAATGAATCTCCGAAAATATTAGTCAGAAGATAAATGCACAATATATCGTTGGAAAGCGGAGAATTTTAGAAAAAACAATATCTATTAAAAAAAATAATAACTTTAATGGTGTTTTTATTGGCAAGCCAATTATTTTATAACTCAAGTCAAAGACGTCGATCCGCCATGTTTGAGGCCACCTTTTTTTTGGGAACAATAGCTTTTTTCTATTAAATACTTACAAGGAACACAACTGTATATAATTTATTGGGATGCAGGGGAGGGTGGTCTGGCCCACCGTGTAACATACTTTTCAAAACACCTCCTGACCACTGTCTACCATTTCAGTCAATGGCTCATTATATTCAAGGAAAACCTCTAAATTCTTTGGCGAGGTTCAAAATGCAGTTATAGAATTTTTCCGTTCAAAATAAAATTCTTTTCTTCACTGGTCAAAATCTATTGCTCCTGAGCTGAGAGCCAGAAAAAAAAAATCAATACTCTTGAATTGTATTTAAAGTAGATAGTATTTTTTTTTTTTTTTTACAAAATTATTAATTTTTTCTCAATTTTTCTTATAAAGGTGAAGCTGAAATCGAACGAGAAAGGGGAGTTATTCTTCGTGAAATGCAAGAAGTTGAAACTAATTTACAAGAAGTAGTTTTTGATCACCTTCATGCCGTAGCTTTCCAAGGGACTCCTCTCGGAAGGACAATCCTTGGGCCTACCAAGAATATAAAGTAAATACGTTAATGTATTGATATTTTTATTTTATGTGTCAATCTAAGTAATTTTTTTTTTTTTTAGAGGATAGTTGGAGGTGATCAGTCAAAATAAAAATAGCAAAAATAAATAATAATATTATATTATATAATAATATTATTTTGACTGATCACCTCCAACTATGCATCTCTCCAATTATACACTATAGTCAACCATCAACACACAATTTTTTTTTTTTTTATGTCTGTTACTAGCTTTCATAAAATTTGTTCAATTTATAATTTTTTAAAATATTTTTAGGTCAATCACTCGCAATGATCTTGTTGAATACATTAAAACTTACTATCGTCCCTCTCGAATGGTTCTGGCTGGTGCAGGTGGCGTTGACCATGATATGCTGGTTAAAACCGCTCAATCCCAGTTTGGAAGTTCTGCCCCTTTAGTTACTGATGCACCTATTCCCACCCCTTGCAGATTCACTGGTAAGTTAAATATTTAATCTTTATTATTTAGTTAGTTTAGAACGGATTGTTAGAATTTGTAAACCGTTTTGGTTATTAAATGAAATAAATCCTAGTCTGGATCGATCCCATATATGTTATTCTGATCTTTGGCAGTTCATGGCCACATAGCAACCCCCCTGGTATACACTGCCGTGACGGGCATGAGCAGAAGCTGTACTGTGCTTGCATTGGAGCTGCCCTGTTGGCGCAGTTTTATAACAGCTACCTACTTAGATACATTACCATAATTTTAAGAAGGGGTTAGTTGGAATTATTATTAAAATCATTACTTCTTTATTTAGATCACGACTTTTGAACTTCTGCTACACTTCCTTAAGAGATAAACAAACCTCCCAACAGGCTCTTCTAAGCTGAGTTTTGGACTTACCAAACTGTAATCTATATCTCGTATCTAGAGATGGATCCTTTCCATCGCCAAATATTGATTTGGATTCAATAAATTAATATTAATCAATTCCCATGACAAGGACTCCTGGTAGGAAAGCCCGATCTCAACTGAAAAGGATCCATTATGGATTTGTTCATGTGTTGAGGAAGTGTAGCTAGCGGAAGTCCAACAGTCGTGATCTAGTTAACCTTTTACATGCCATTGTTGCAGAAGTGGAACATATATTGAACAATTTTTTTGGCCAACTTGTCATTATTTTTTTGCAAAAACAAATGTTGAAATAATAGTGTCAAGAGGTGAATCGATTTTTTGTTTTAATACTACAGCAATGAAATTTAATTTGAATATTGATTTAATTGATTGTGATAGATTGATGAAAATAATGCATTGTAGAGAATGTAAATAAAAAAATTCTAATAATCAGTTCTACTAATTTTAGTTTTTATGTTCCACATATGGAACAATGGCAGGTTCACGCTATAAAAATGTTCGTTTATAACTCCTTAACCATAGAGAAAAGGGAGGGCTTTATCACGGAAAGGTGTTCCACGGACAGGGCCAGAGACTTCCATTCCTCCTAGCAGGCGTAAGGCAAATGGGTATTATATCATTTTGCCTTCCAAAGGAAGGTGTCTTCATTGTGGCACCAACAAAAAATATCAATGCAAAAAATGACAGAAACGCATTCATATTGATTGTTTTCCCCCAATATCATGGATTGTAAATCATAGATTATCTTAACAATTTTTTTTTATTCCTTATTCTTACATACTCATTTTCTATTATTTTACTAACAATTTTAATGTTTTACTATAATATTATAATAATTTTTTATTCTTGTATTGAATATTCTAATAAAACTATTAAGAAAAAAGTTCTTTGTATAATCTGAACCTGCCGTTGTTCCACTTCTGGAACAAGTTTGAAAAGCTCAAAGAAATGTTTTTTTTTTTTTAGTCATCTAAACTGAACCATATTGAGTCCAATATTACAGAAAAAAAAAATTCTACAATTAGGGAATTAGAGAGCGGCATGTAAAAGGATAAAGTAAAGAAATAATTTTATTAACCATTAATAATCCCAATTAACCATGATTTTGATCTCAATTTCAGTTTAAAACAATGGTTACCATAAGACTTAAAATAGTTCCAAAAGTGGAGCATAAAGAATTGTGCTTTTGGGCGTGCAATCTGATGAGCCCTTGATCACAAAACATCATGTCTTGCCATACATCAGAAAATAAATTTTTTATTTTATTTAATGTTGTTTTATGCAGTAACTCTTTTCAGCTATTAAAATTTTAATTAGTGTAATTCCTCAAGAAATTAATGTCATATATTATTGTTCAAATAGGCTCTGAAATCCGAGTAAGAGATGATGCGATGCCAGTTGCCCATATTGCTATTGCGGTCGAAGGCTGCGGATGGGAGAGCGCAGACAACATTCCATTGATGGTTGCCAACACACTGATCGGTGCCTGGGACAGGAGCCATGGAAGTGGTTCCGGTAACGCTAGCCGCCTGGCCATCGCTTGCAGTACTGATAACCTTGCCCATTCCTTCCAGTCTTTCAACACCTGTTACAAGGATACCGGTCTGTGGGGAATCTACTTTGTTTCTACACCACTTGCTCTTGAGGTATGAAACTACTCATGCATTTAAATATAAAACGTAATAAATAATGTATTTTAATAAGTTACCTAGATAGTTTTATTGGTTTTTAATTGATCTTTACCAAATTTCTGGCTCTAGCATAGTACATAGTCGTACTTTTTTTTTTCCAGAAGTGATGATTGGTCCTAAATAATGTGACATATATTCTTAATTTAAGAATATGAGACTAAATTATTATAAATCTTTATATATGTATGATTAACTAACAGATCTCCTCTATTAAAGAGGAGCTATGATTGTGATCATTTAATTTTGTTAAGGTAGTATCCATATTGGCGATGACAGGATATGCACGCACAGATATAGACCTAAGGTTCAATAAGTTACTAATTTAACAACAAATGAAAATACAATTAGCTAGGAGCTATTTCAGATATTTCAGCTAGAAGCTATTTCAAATACCTAGGAGAATAGCTGGGTGGATAGAGATGTAAGAGAGAGGACGAGAGCAGCCGGAAGGTGCTTTAATGCCATTAGGAAAGAAAGAGGTTCCCAAAACCACAAAATAACAATTTAAAATAAAAACCTTTCTACCCATTCTGACATACTCTGGCAAGTCTTGGACCTAAACTTAAGAATTAACTCCAAGAAATGAAGATTTGTTACCTCCATAGAGTCGAAGGCAAAACATGAGTGATGAATATCACTATCCGATCCAACCTGGATCTGCAAGCTTCAAGAGAAAAAATAGAAGAACACCAGTTAAGGTGGTTCGGAAATGTCTCATGAATACCAGAAGACAGGCTAACTAATGAGACAGAGGTGGAAGATAGAGGTATTTTGCAATCAATCTTGCATACCACTGGATGTCACCTTTGATAAATCTAGGTATTATGTGATTTGATTAGAATTTTGAAAACTTGGGTAGTCATGCAATTCACAAAAATAAGTCTCCGAAGCCTGCTCTACACCTTGTGCCTTGTTGCCACATTAGGCAGGTTAGCAGATTAGTAGGTTCACTATTAAAACAAATTACCCAGTGTTTAAAACAACAGTTAGTGCCACATGTTCCCTCCTGTCACGCTTCAAGTTGCGAACTGATACAATAAGGCACTAGGTGTTATGCGGGTCTCGTGGACCATTCTGGTAGTACCATACCAATGAGTAAGACTAAGATGCCAGTCTCCTAATCTCTCCCAGCCCGGTTCAAGTCTGACTTAGGCAGATACTCTGGGGGTCAAGAAACCCTCCTTACATTGTAGTAGTCAACTTTTTTTTTTTTTAGAACAGTTCTTAAGTTACTTGTCCAAGCCATCTCGGATTAAAAATGTATTACTTGATTATGCTAAACAAGCTGTAAAATGTATGGCATTATAAAATGAAAGAAAGTATAAAATAATTTATCAATACTTTTATTTTTAATTTAAAAAAAAGAAATCAGTGATGAAAATTTTAAATTCTATAATTATTATCACATATCAAGACAATAATATAAATTTATTTAAAAATATTGTTTGTTCCTTTAGAAATTAATTAAAAAGTTGAATTGATTTTTTATTTCCCCTAGGATATGGTGTTTAACATCCAAAATGAATGGATGAGGTTGTGCACTTCAGTGACCGAAGGAGAGGTCGAAAGAGCCAAGAACTTATTGAAAACTAACATGCTGCTTCAGCTCGATGGTACAACCCCCGTCTGTGAAGATATTGGGCGCCAGATGCTTTGCTATGGTAGGAGAGTGCCTCTTCATGAACTTGAAGCTAGAATTAATGTAAGTGGATTTTTATTTTCAGTATTGGCATGAAATAACAGCTTAGATTATTTTCTAAAAGATTTATATATTTTTAGGCATTTGGGAATTTTATTGCTTCTCATTTTTTTACATTAAGTTATTGTATCCTCTAGCTGAAGTGTTTTTTTCGTATGACCAAAGATCACCAATAACATTTTCTCTTTATGTATTTATTATTCAACGTTTCAAACTCTAGAGCCATTTTCAAGATTCTGCTAACAAATCTTTAATTTAGTTGTTTTAATTTAAAATATATCATTATAAAAATATAATAATTTATCAGCATAATAAAAACAGCCAGTTACATACATGGTCCTTATTCTATTTTAGAAAAAAAACTTCTGCTAAGGAGGTTCATGTTTTGAGATCAAAATATATTCCTTTTTGTTTTCTTTTCTTAAAATTTAACATTGTTTTAATTATTTATATATAACTTTTAGAAATAAAAACATCATTTGATGAAATAAGGGAATGATCAACTGTCACATTATATTATGATGATATATTTTAGAAAATTTGTATGGAACGGTTGTGTGGTAGGTAACTAATTTTTGCATTAATTTTAAACCAAGATATTAAAACATTGTTATATAAAAAAAAATCTAAAATAGTATAAGGACTATGTATGTAACTGACTGTTACATAAATTATTAAAATTTGTTTGCAGAATCTTGAAAATGGCTCGAGAGTTAAATAATAAATACATAAAGTGAAAAAGTTTATTATTGGTGACCTTTTGCCTAATACTTTAAAAAAACAAAACATAATAAATGACACCAAACATTAAAAATATGACAAGAAAATATTAAATAATTATAATTGATAAGTCCAAATAGTAAGTTTCATCAGAAGCTGTCTAAATATCACATGTTTTAGTCCGATTTTATTTTGAATTTAATCCAATCCATCTTAAAACCTTATTTCAAATAATAGTCTTGAGATTCTTGAAATATTTTAATGCTTCAGTTTTGTAAACCTCGTTCATATTCCTCATTAAATTAGTTTTGTTCTGGCTAAAGGGAAATATATTTGTTAACAATAAACCGGCCAAAATCGGGTTTTTATTTCAGTATATATCTACATATTGTACTCAGAAGTTTACTTATTATACTTGGAATTTGGAAGGTTATGATTATGTATCTATGAAGGTTATAATTTTTGTTTTATCTTTAAATTGTCAAACACACAACTCGGGAATATCAAAGCTTTGAATGTTGATAGATTATTTTCTATATTGAGAAGAAGAATAGTTGGGGTGATCAGTCAAATAAGAAGGCAAAAATAAATGATAATATTTATTTAGTCATTTGTCGACGTTTTGATCTGAAGTTCAGGCCATCATCAGGGCTAAGAAAAGAACCAGATAACAAGGTATAAGAAACATAAAAATTACAGTAAAATGAAGTTGTTAGAATAATAACAATAGTAAGAACAATAGACAAATAATAATAACAGGTACAAAGTGTGGAATGATAAAGTAAACATAGTCAAAAAGGTGACATAAGTATTGTAAAGGGAATCTTAGAATAAAATATAAAACAGAAAAATATGAAGTTATATAAGAAATGGAAATAAATAGTAAAATTAAGATATAGTGAATAGAATATTTAGATAGAAAATTGAGATGTTGTAAAGTCTATCAATATGTACAGACAAAGTATGAAATAATAAAGAGTTAAAACAGAGAAAAGGAATGAAAGGAAGGAGGAAAGAAACTGAGAAGGTTGAAATAAGTAAGTAATTATTTGACTGATCACGCCAACTATTCCTCTTCTCATTATTCACGACAGTCAACTATTTAACCACTATTTTCTATATTATTAATTATTATTGTCGCATCAAACGAAGATCTCTGTGCATTGCTTTTTATTATTTGTTCATTCATTTCATTTTTGTCTCACATGTTGGAATAATTATAAACAATTATTTCTATATTTTATTCTTATTGCATAGTGCTTGTATGTTTCCATGTATGTTACGTATCTGTGAACACATTAAAATATATATTTATTTTTCTAGTGCATCACCGCTCAGAATGTGCAAGATGTAATGATGAAGTACATTTACGACAAGTGCCCCGCTGTCGCAGCTGTGGGACCTGTGGAAGGTCTTCCTGACTATAACAGAATACGTGGCTCAATGTATTGGTTAAGGTTATAAATTATAGCTATTTGGTATAGTTCGGGTGTGCATTTCAAGACCACGTCTATACTTGAATAGGAATTTTTGTACATTGTATAATAAATTTCTTTTCTTTTTGTTTTAGATTTCTTCATTTGTAATATATTTATGTATTTATTGTTAATAAAACATTAATTTTTTGTTGTTAATTTCTTCACCATAATATCAGACCTTCTATAAACATCAATAATTCTGATTTTTAGCCTATATTTTTGTTCTAATTGCAAAATAATTATTTTTATTTTTGCATAAATCTTAAAATATATTCTTGAAGTTTATACATTTTGATTGATGCTATTAACTATTCTAATGATTGCTTTATTAAAATATTTTATTAATAAACTTTCTTGTTGAAGTGGTGACAAGACATTGAGGTCACATTCAGCAAATATATGTGGTCAACCAAATTTGTTTCTGTTGAAACACCCAATATGGCCCATTATTTTTAGGACACGTCGAGTAGTTTACTTTACCTTGGTATGGCTCCAAATTACTTTAATGGTCTTCTACTCACTTTAAGGCACATGTAAAGAAAGCAGAGAAAATGCTAATTTATTGTAAATTATTGAGCATTTAATAGTATTTCATTATCAAATTACAGCATTATGTAAGCAATATCGAGGATGGGATAGCCGAGCACAATAGGGGTGTGGGTTTCTGGGTTTCACCCAGAGTGCGCGGTTCTGAAAACTGGATTCAATTCCCATCTGGATCAGTTAATTATTATTTCAAGGTAGCCGTCAGAGGTTGGCATAAAGGACCATGGTGGCCCACATGCCGGACTAGTTCCACCAGTACCCGTATGTCAGCAATATAAAGTTTTATAATAATTATTAGTAGATTTATGAAAAATTGTAAGGAAAAAATTACTGCTAAGTATTTGTCAAGTGAACATTAAGGCTGACCGGCCACCGAAAGCTCAGCTGAGCTGAGCGTAGAAAGAGTGGGTTGGCAACTGATTGCTTCGTGGAGCTCAGCTCAGTCAGCAACTTGTCTTGTATTGGTGTCCTCATATTCCGTATAACATTTTAAAAAATAGGAAAGTTGATGATGTTGGGGTTGAAAAGAAAAATCTATTTCTCCTCCTAAACATTCGATTAAGAATTCTTCCACATCCATTGCATCTTTTATACTGAACCAAAATAAAATGCTTTGAGAGGTTGTACAGTGAAACAGGATGATACTGAGGAACAAAGCCACATGGTTGTGTGGCAGTGGTGGGGGAAGCTGAACATCAGCTTCAAAACCGAACCTCGGCCAAGCCAAAGCTGAGCTGACGCTACACTGCTCAGCTCCGCTCATTTGGTGGCCGGGCTGTCATTAATAACCTTTGGTTCATTTGTGGCAGCTGACTGCTCAGCTCAGCACCACTTACGTTGGCCGGTCAGGCTAAGCCAGGCAACATACCTAAAATAAGAACATGGTGATGATTCTCAGGGAGCACTGTCACCTGATATCCGATAATGATGATTCCCAAATTCATCTTTCCTTTTATCCTTCAGATTTGTATCATGCTTTTGCCAATATTTTTTTTTTGGAACTCCCCTTCCTCGCTGTTAAGGCTATACAGGGTTTTCCTGAGCCAGGGGGCGTTGATGGGGATTTCAAAGACTCCCTTGGCACCGGGACACGAAATCGTGACTGATCATTTGAGTCATATATCATGTTGCTGGGCAATGCCAGTGCTGTGCACACACGTTAGCCCATTCAGCCACCCCAAAATAAAAGCTTAATAAATTCAAGAATAGTTGAATTGGATCAGTGCCTGCGCAAACTAAAATGGATTAAGATTAAACACTGCCAAAACTCAAGCCTTTGGTTCCAAATCCCTTCTTAGATCCAATACCAACATTCCTATCCTGTGCCTTTAAATATATAGCATTCCTTTCTAATTGTATTTAGTGATTATTATATTATTCTTTTAGCTCCAATATTGTAGTATTGTAACCCTGGTACCCATCTGTTTTTATTATATACTAAGAGCTATATATTTACTTATTTTATTACTTGTCTTTTCCATTGTAATAGGTCTTTTGGCCAGATTTGTTGTTAATTTATATAAAAATATTTTTATTCTTAAGGGACCCAGTCCCAGAATAAAGATGATTTTCTATTTCTGTATGTTATTAATTCAAAGTAGCTACAAGAGAATCCTGGACTGAACTCATGGGGAGAGACATATGCTCAATTTCTATAAGATTAAGATACAAAAACATACCACGATCTATAGCTTTTTTTTTTTTTTTTTTGTTCTTCCCTACCTCGCCTTTTAGGCTATACGGGATTTTCCCGGGCCGGGGGGTGAGGGCGGGGAATTTAAAATCCCCTCCGGCACCGGGACGCGAACTCCTACTTTTTATATCATCTCAAATCTCTGTTATCCGGTTGCCAGGCAACTAGCGGTGCTGTTACACACGCTTTAGCCTATTCGGCCACCCCGCCTCCTAACCACGATCTATAGCTACAATGATGATACTGCAATGCCCACAAAAATCCAACTTTTGCCTTGATATTCAAAACCATCTCTATAGCATTGAAAAATGGTCCCAAAAATGGAAAATTAAAATAAATTGCAGTAAATCAAGCCATGTTAGTTTTTCCCTATAAAAAATATGTTCTGTGGCAATAGACAACAAAGCAGTTCAATAGAATTTTTACTGGGTCTTGGACTATACATAGACAGAAAATTTACTTGGAACTTAGAAATAAAATTTAAAAAACAAGAACTGACCAAAAACGTCCACAGAAACAAAATTCAGACTGCACAATCCAATGTACTTCGAAAAATTGTAAATCCATCTTGATTTATTTCACACCTTATACAATGACATACAGGCACGAACAATAAAATCCTACATTTGTTACAAATACACCATATTTTACTTATGAACTTTTAATCATTCAAATTATTAGAGATCTCACAAAATAAATAAATATCAAGAACAACATTGACGAAATTAAAGACAACACATTTGTTTGTTGTATTGCTATGCTATTGTAAATAAAATAAAAGCATTTCTTTCTGAATATTACTAATTTTCCTATTTAGTTATGACTATAAGTAGTTGGTGTTTGTCCACGAAATAATGCCTCATTAAACATGTATAATAAGATAACTAAGGTGTAGCAGAATACTATTTAATGTGTACAGATTTTGGAACTGTTTACTAATATTAAATACAGAAAAAAATAACTAAATTGTAAAAACAAAAAAAAATATATATTTACACCTAAATATATCAAAAATAATTGTTTTTGAGTGCATTTAGATAAGAATCATTGTTTAAAAAGAAGATATCTGTTTAAATTTATTTGATTGGCCATCTTTTCAAATTCCAAAAATTGGTATATTATTTACTATTATCATTTATTATTATTCTGTTGAATAATTGTGAGTTAATTATATACAAATTTTAATTATTTCTGTTGTTTTTTATGTTAATGAAAAAAAGTTTTAAATTTTTAGTTTTTGTTATTTTATCTTTGCTGGCCCCTAATAACTAGTCAGTTATCTATGTTATGTGTACCATTATAATCAAAATATATTGAGTCATTAGATTATTTTATGTGGATATTTATAAATCTGTAATATTCAATAAGCCTAATAAAACTTTATTTCTTTTCTTGGGTTATTTGCCTTATAATTGTTTATCCAAGTATGTTCATTGAATTTTTCAACGAAGAATAAATTAAATATTTTATATTATATTAGTCTTCAATAATTGAAGTTGTGAATGAATAAGTTAATTTTTTCAAGTTCTACGAAAAAATAATTCAAATCACTTTTATCCACTCTGAAGCATCTTCACTGTATGATAGTTTTGAACCTCCTATTGAATTTATCCAAACGAAAGGCAATAGTAACAAAATTATTAATTTATACCTTTATCAATAATTTTTTTTTTCCAATATTGACCTTTAATATTAAGAAGTAGTGTGACTCTTCATTTTTCTTATATTTGTAGTTAATAAAATGTTAACAATATATTTCTTTTAATGTCAATACAGTGAGTTATAAATAACTCATTGATGGTTGGTATCCCATTTTGTGCTGAATTCAACGTAAAGGCTGTGTCATAAATAAGATATATGCTCTGCTGTTTCATACATCTTGTACTCGCTCATCCCATTTACCAAATCTCACATCTCCTGTCATGCAATTTCTGCCCTCAAGCTATTCCATCGCTTCCGCCATCTCCTACCCCTAAATACCCGTAGAATCTTGATTTCCTCTCTCATCTTCCGCCACTTTGACTACAGCTTAATGGTGTATGATGGCTTCTTGGTGGAGCTCTGTGACAGAATGAAAAGACTAATGAATAGCTTCTTAAGATTTGAAATTGGAACTCCGAGATGCTCTAGTGTATCCCACTGCCACACTGAGTTAAAGTGGCTCTTTCCCTCCTTAAGAAGACAATATGTTCTAGGCACATTCCTTTATCAAATCATCATCCTTCTTATACTTACATTTTCTCCAATTCAAGTCCTCAATCCATTCTCTTACCACAAGATCTCGCTCGACCTTCTGACTTATACATCTCTTCTCATAGATCTCACTCATTCCAAAACTCCTTTGTTGGCATGTATTTCTTATCATCATGTGATAATACCGTTCTTTGCTACGAATAGTACATGTATTTCCTACTTTCAACGCCACTCAATATATCTGTTTTTTTAATTTAATTATCACTAATTAAAAAAAAAAACTTAAATACCTACACATATCTTCCATAACAGATGATCATGGTCTTCTTATGTTGTATTTACATAATTAGGTTTATACTGACAGATGCAGATTTCATTTCTTGAAGTGTATATTTGTGCTGTTCTACCATTATATACAGTTTTAAGAATTTTATTCATTGTTTTAAGAGTTATATACATGGTTATGTCTGCCTTGTCTATCTCAATTATTAATTGTTTATTACAGAGTAAAGTAGAAATGAGGTGGCAAGAACGAAGCTTAAAAATCATTAAAAAAGTTAGAGAAGTCCACCTTCAAAATATGTAATAATTGTTTAATTTAGAATTGAAAGTTATAGTATAAGAAGCAGCAGGTAAGTCTAAATTCATAAATTTAGGGTTTGACCTATATGAAATTAATTAAATAAGACACTATTAAACTAGGAATAAACCAGTTAAGGACTGCTTTTGCCTCAAAGGTAGTCAGTCGTTCATTAACATTGGTGTCAAAAACAATTTCAATCCTGAAATCTCTGATTTTTTTATCAATTCATAGACGATTTTGTATTGATGTAATATTTTCTACTTTATTTATCACACAGGATCAGATATAATTGTGTTCAGATTTTATGAAAATCAGAAACAGAAACAGTTATATTAGTTGGTTGTTAGAAGATTAAGGCATAAAACCTGTTAGTCATCAACACCTTAAATTGCATTGGTCCTGGTCAAAAATGCATTAAAATATTCCTTAGCGATTTTGAAATTAAATGGTTCTTTCATTTGAACCGGAAGGAATTTTAACATTTAGACAATTCCCATTAAGACAACAGAATAGTTTGGGAAGACACAGGGCTTAGTGATGCAGCCCAAAATAGAATTCAAATGGATTGATCCACTTTTTTAAATTGAAAAATAGAATGAAGTGACCTTCCTGGGCATGCCTCCTGTCCTTAAATTTCTATTATATGCATATTTTAAATTGTTCATACATGATAATTAATAATAACTGCAATATATTTTTGGTAGAACAAGTAAAATTTCACTTTTTTGTCATAAGCAAATTAATAAAAAAAGTGGGTAAATACCAATCAATAAGTATTTAAACTGGTCATATAAACAGCTTTTTCAAATTACTTGGACTTAACTGGTTCTTGCAGCAATTAGATTAAAATAAGCAGGTACAATTATTTTAAATTAAATTAATCCAAAATTTTAGAATAAGTGAGCAAGCTTTCGAGAAGGTTCCAAAAATAATTTTCTCAGAAAACTTTTGATAAAACAATAATTTCACAAAAATTATTAAAATATAAAGTAAACATCAAATTTGGACGACTTAGAAATAAATGTAAAAAATATTCCCTTCCTGCACCACAGTTATAACTAACCTATGAACATGTTGTAATGGCAAATAACTTACACTACTTCAGTAGTTATTTCCTTGAGTTGGAATAAAATACAGCTTTTTTCCATAATTCCATTGCTATTTTAAATAACCTTAATTGTTGTGCTTATTCTAATGTTCATAACCTTCTATTTATCCAGTCAATGTTTGAAAAATCAGTTAATATATGAATTCAGGGGTTTGATTTTCAATTGGAACAGAAGGAGTTCTAAATTTTAGACCATTCCCATAAAGACAATGGCTAGTTTAAGCAGAAAAGTGAAGGGGTCCAGGATCTATACAAAGCCAAAAAATGGAATTCAAATGGATTCAAACAATTTATCTTTATTAGGAAATGTAATTAAGTGGATGGGTCCTTTTCATTTTCCCCATAGCTCACAATATTTCAGTGAAGTTTTAATTAGCTATTTCATAACATACTGAAACATGGGCATTCATCAGTGAGTTTTGGAGAAGGATTATAATTAAAATTACAATAATGATTTATGTATTATCCCAAAACTAACATTGCTAAAAATAAAAATCAGTATAATTGAAGAATTGTGAAGTATTTTTATCGAATAACAATCAGTTGTAACATTAAGATTACCTGTTTTACAAGTAAAACAATTATTTCTGAAATTTAACTATTTGGATTTTACTGTTTCCTAGGTGTTTCTAAAAGACAAATAAAGATATAAAAAAAAATTTTACTTATCCTACAGATAACTTTTTGTTATTTCCTGCTAATTTAGAACAATTTATCATTGAAAATTGCAAGAAGTAGTCCAATATATGCAGCTTTCCTTTATTTTAGGCTTATATCTTCTACAGTGAGCTCTCAATTCCACAATTTTAAATTGCTATCAAAATTTTTTCTAATAGAGCCAGCCAATTGGTTAATTGAAATTTTAATTGCTTTTAAGGAAGTAGTGATATAGGTTTTGAAATGATACATCAGAAGTAAACAGATAAAATATTTTGGTTTTATTTATACCTACATCTCATTCACATATAATTGTTTACCAAGAAAAAAGGCAAAACAGTAGACAATTTTTTTCTTTTTAAAGTAACAATGAATAATCTAATAAATTGTCAAACTATAATTAAATACACACTATGTAGGCATAATTTAGAAACCTCTATAAAATAAAAAATAATTTAAAAATTGCCTGATATTTTGCCTTTGAACCAGGAACAAAAAATCTTAACAGCATCCACATAAAAGATGCTAACAATATATACATTGATAGTAATGTAACAGTATATCATTAATAAAATATTCACATGGTAATGCTGACTTGTTAAAATGGTAAAAATACAAGTTAACTATAAATTGAGGTAACAATTTTCCATTCTTAATACACATATTAAAAGTAATGGTAGATTAAATATCAGAGGCAATCTGAAAAGAAAAAACAAACAAAACAATGATCACATGGACTCCTCACATTGAGATATGGAGCATCAAAAAGTTATCACAATTCAAGCTATTGTGGTTTTTTTTTTTTTCACATTACATTTAAATGAGAATACTCTACATATAATGAGACCCATAAATGTTTCAACATTTAATTACAACATTTTGTAGATTCTGTTTTATAATTTGTTATTATTAACATTTTTTATACATATAAAAATAACTTTTTAAAAATATTCTTATCATAATCCAATCAATTCATAAAATAATCATTCCTCATTTCATAATTTAAGTAGGCTCTTTCTCAATATATATATATTTTTTTAAAATTTACTTTTAAAGAACTAAGAAAGCTCTTAGCATTTCAAAAATGTGATGCGACATAAATAACTTTAATGAAAATATAGAAGCTATAAAACTATATAACTCTGCTAAATCAATAACAGTAATAAAATCTGCCTAACCGGTTTATAATTCAACTGCACCTTTAAAAATAAACTCTCTTATACATCACAATATTCTTTTCACTATCACTTTTGTTGAATTTATGCTTATTTCTGCTTCCCATAAAAATATATATATCATCTCATACCAAAATACCTCCGCTCCCCATTAACATCACAAATTTACAACATACATATCAAATTTACAATTTAACTTAAGTGACAGATCATAAACGCCTGGCAGTGACAGAAAGTGGACAAGTTAGAAACGTAAATTAAATTTTCAATTATTTTATACATAGTTCTCTATACATTGCACAAAATGACATTTATCAACCAAGGAAATATTTTTAAAAAATAATATCTCATATTTACATATATTCACTAAAAGGCCAATTGTATGAAATTATATTTATATATATATATATATTTATATATACTTAGATACAGAAAAATATAGCATACTCTTTATATTTATTTACATATTTATAAATGAAAATATATGCTTGTGTGCAAGGTGTTATGGAATTTAAGAGCAGTAAGTTTTTTCTGGCCAGGAACTGGGAGAGTGGACGCTACATTTGGTCTGGGACAAGAGAGATATCCCTCTCAATAGGTAACTGTCAAGACACACACATACTTAATAAATTTACATTAAAACTAATTATTAAATACACGCTCATCTTTCTCACAAATAAAACAATTTTCCAAGCAAAACTTTTGTTTCTATACACGCTGAACTTGTTGGCGAGATGATCGGCAAACAACCGATGTTTACCGCATCGTATTTTAAGCAAATAAAGAAGCTAAGAAAGAATATTTGTCCCGACACCATGACCCTCGAGTGTTAAAAAAAAATGAAAAAAAAAATAAAATAAAAACAAGAAACAATTAGTAAAAGAAAGACAAAGAAAATGTGCAATGTCTAACATTAATAACCGTAACCAAAATTTGTTTCAACAACCTTCAGGGAAATTATTAATAACAAATGAAAATGGTTGAAACTGTTTTGGAATGTAACAATTTACTTCATAACAACATTCGATTCTCTATTATAAACTGACTTACACACAATTCTTTTTTTTTTTCTTTTTTAAGATTTTTTCAATCTTTTTATTTGTTATGTAATGTTAGTTACACAGATTATATTTAATTTGCAAGCTATGTGATCCTCGCCTCACATACCATTAAGCAAATCGATTCCTCGAATGAGAACATAAATAACTTTTGATGCCCAAAGTATCCCTTCCAGAACAATTCACTTGTTAAAAGTGGAATGTAAACTAGAACTCATTAAACTTACAAACATTCATCAGGCACAAAACCGACCTAACATAACTAACCTAAAATTAAGGAAAGAAAGAATGAGCAGTTATGTTCAAACAACATAAGATAAAATAAATAACTATAAGAAATCAAGTATTTAAACTTTAACCATTTATAATCTAAATATAAGAAATTAAGAAAAAAAAATATCGGTCTCGTGCCTGGGGGACTATACTATATTGTACTGCTGGTATTTTTTAAAAGTAATGCCTTTATTAAATACAGTAATTTATTATGTGCTTTGTACTTTTCTGAAGGCATCTTATTTTTTTTCCTGTACACTAACATGAGGTCTAAAAGTATTTTACAAAATTACATAGTCCTTATAACCGCTGCTTTTCACATAATCACACACTCGCTGACACTAGAGGAAGAAGAGTTCTATATAGTATCGTGAGCCTGGTATCTGCCATCTCGGGGCACTCTAGGTAACTCAGTATTTAACTTATGAACACGTGATCCCCGTTTCCCTCTCATATTGCACTTTGTATTCATCAGCTTCTCATTCCACATCATCCTGAAATTAAATATAATAACAATTAAGAGGAAAATTTGCAATGGGCTTCATTCTAATTTACTATATTTATCTGAAACCTTCCTAAACAATTGCGACATATGTCAGTGTAGAAGAGGTTATATCTCTTCCTAAAAGTCAGTCCAAATGTTTCCTTTAAGGATGTTTTTTCTATATTTTTACAATCTTGTATAAATCCTAAGAAAAATCAGATAACATTGTAATAAATACTCTAAAGAATGTTCTAAATTGAAAGCAACAATTACAAAATTATGATTTTCAATAAAAAATTTTAAGTAGCTCTGAACTCTGCATAAGCTAAATAGTGACAATAATTCGGTCAAATAATTATTTAATAATTAACTTTTGACTAATCAGCACAGAATGATAATTGGAATCTTTGATAGTTATAGTGACATAAATAATATATGTGGCTAATAGAGCAAAAGTAGGATAAACAATTTTTTGTCTAACTAATTACTATCAAAACATTATCTTTTTTAAGCACTAAAACATGAAAGTGTCTTTAATACATAGGTAATAAGTACTCTGTAGACACCTAAAGTAATTATTTCACAGTTAAGAGGTTGGTTCCACACAGCTTTTGAGAAATGCCACTCTTACAGCTTCATACCATTATCTACTGTTCAAATCTCTATAAAGAGTTTAAATGATCAAATATCAAATACTAAGTTCTTTCAACAAGTCATCAATGAGTCAGATCTCCAATAGAAAATGAATGTGTTCCAAAAGGAGTACCAACCTCAGTACTGCATAGCTACATAGAATTGTATTCTGGTTAACTACAATTACATGGCCAATAATAGAGAATCACAAAATAACATTCTGATTTCCAGTGATTTATCAAACGTTATTGGAATTGCTTACAAAAAATCAAGTTTGCAAAGCATCTGAAATTTACTTTGTAGACATTGGGGTGGTAATTTCCTTCAAAATCAGAAATAAAGTAAATATTGTGCCCACTTTTAATTTTTTAACTATGAAAAAAAAATGAAGATGCCTACCTGAAATGTTTATTTCCTTTTTGCATGCAGCATCTCCATTAATAATGTCTGTGTTGGAGCACCACCATTACAATGTTTCATGTAAAGGTGCTCTTCGCCTCGTACAGCTATTGAGTGTATTTCTGGCAAGATCGTTAACAATTTATTGAACTTATCCTGAAAATAAAAACATAACTTCAGTTATATTTAGCAGTTGGAAATTAAATTAAACATTAGTAATAATAATAGCATTGTGTTGAGAGAAGAACCGATATGTTAACAGGAGAGAATGTCAAAATGGACCAGAATCCCTGGACTCAAAACTGATCAATCTCAGATGTAGCACATTGCCATGGTCACGTCTTTCAGAGAAAGGAGTTATAACTAACACTGTCATCAACCGTCAGGGACCCCAACAGCTCTTGTGATAATGTGACCCTCTAAAACTGAGGTCTTTGGTACATTGAGAAGGATGAAGATGTTGGAGGCAATCAAGACACCTCATCATCTCGGACCAATAATTTTGTCTGTTCAGGACAAATGGGATGCAGGAACAACATTCGGTATGGGAACATTGATCTCTACTAGGTCCTTCAAGAAAGAAGTCAAGGGTTATAAAGTTCATCCACTTCTCCCACTATTGTTGCGGCAGTTTGGCTTACATTAAGCTATTCAAACTAATAATACTAAGTTGTGACTGAGGTAAGTGTGCAGCGGCTGTGCCAGGGAGTTGCCAAAAAGGGCCACATGGCTTAATTGCCTGACTAGCTCCTCCACCAGTACCAGTAGCAATAAGAAACAGCACACAATAAACTTGGAGGGAAAGAAAAGGGTTTTTAATATTATCAATTCAATTGTCCACAATTCACATTATTGCATGCTGGTATTCATACAGTTATGAATACACATATTTGTAAGGAGATAAAGAAGTAAAGTTGAGAGCCTAGAATGAGGGACTAAAAATTTAAATATCACTATATCAGATTTCAAAAATAGTTTTCAACTTTCTAATATTGTTGAAGGGAAGCATTTTACTGGAGTTCAATTAGGGAACTATGGTTTCTCAAATAAAATTTTAATATTACATAGAAGAAGAAATCAATACGTACCTGAACCTGCGGATAAGAAGTTAGGCAATAATCGTGAAGGGCCTGCTGAACCTGATCGTGACCTTCCTGGACGTGCTTCCTGTTCATCAGTCCCCTTACATCTATATAACAACATGCAAACCTGTATAATCATTTGGACTATTAAACATCATTTATTTCAAGTTGTCCATTTATGAGAATCAATAATGACTGCAATACTTTTTTTATAGAACAGATAGAATTCCACTTTTTTGTTTAGTCGATTAAGATAATGAATGAACAATTTCATAATTAATTAAACAACTTTTTGAATACCAATCAATAAGAGTTTAGAATGCTCATAAAAACAGGATTTTTATTGAAGCGCTATATATTAAATGACAAATGACATCCAATTTAATCTTTAGTATAAGGAACAGAAAGTAATCATTAATATATTTAGAAACAAATTATTCATACAGGAATAAATATTCAAATATTACTTCTTTGCGAATAAAGGATAAAAACGGATCATTAATTGTGTCAACAGGTCCAAGGGGATATGTTTATTATCCAATACAAGTCAATGAGGCTTATAGCTTACTAGGAAACTGGCAACAAACTATAGCGAAGCGCTATTCTTTTTATTTTAATAAATACTTTTAAATTATTATTTAATAAATTGAATATATAAATTTTCCTAATACTTTAGTATATGAAAATATACTATTGAAACCACATATTAGTTTAGTCTCATGAGCAGGAAATTTGCTAATGTTAGTTTTACTACATGTTACAATTTATTCATCTTGCCGATCTTAGCTAAATGCAAAGTTATTCTATATATAAATATAATTATATGATAATTTAAATTTACCTTCAAAAACATTAAGATTCATTCTAAATAATTTTAAATAATTAACAGTAAGTTAAGAAACTACTGAATCAAAACTATTTAAGATAAAATGTACAATAATGATTAGCTGATTAGCTTAACGATTTAATTTTTAAAAGTTTTAAGTGATTGCTTTTTTTTTTACCTGGATTAAGAAGTAAGAGAAACTTGATGGAGATATAATCTGAGGGGTCGAACTTGAGGTCTTGAAGCCTCGTTGAAATCTCTGTGAAAGGTTCAGCAAGGCTGGGGACACCCAACAGACCAAGGCTGAGTAGGTCGAACTTCTGCCCATTGGGCAGGGTAGCTTCATCCGGGAGGTTATTATGCATCCTATGGTGCATATGGTCTAATACGAGCATATCAGACCAAGAATGTTGTAAGAGTTTCATCTGGTCATCAACCTGGAAGAAAAAAAAAAAAAATTAAAAAAATAGAACCTGAAATTAAAAAAATAAATAAAAACCAATACTCGATGATAGAAACAAGACCTAGAGAATCAGATGCTTTCAGATAATTGAAGAGTAATGAAGAGGCATGGGTGGCAAGCTATAGATAATTCCTCATAACCTTCATTCTGGTTTCCCAAACTAACAAGACAATTACAATATTTTTGAAAACAATTACTCGTTTTTTTCTTCTCGAGCCACTTGAACAATTTCTCAGTACCCGTGGGTTGTCAAACTTTTATTTCCATTGTAGCATTGGTGGAAATTAAAGCTTTTAATCAGGAAACTTAACTGAATAATACAAGAGCGGAACTGGAAAACGAATTTTAACATTTCATCATCTTTAGCTCCATGATTTGATGCCATGTCTTACAAACAACCTCCTCCTATTTCTATTCCATGAAAAGACAGGAAAAAAATAAAAACTTTATTCATTTAATGGTGCTCACCAAATAAATAAGTAGTTAACTATAAGTTATAAAAAAAGTATGTATTAAATAGATGTCCATTATTTTGAAATTGAGGCCTAAAATTTAAAAACCTGCCAATCATCAACTCATTCCATTAATGAACATAAAGAATTTTTCATTTATTCGGCAATCAAAAGTCATTTAAGGCCAGTTAATAATTTAAACGAAATTCATATTATTTTGACAGTTAAACATTTTATCAGCAGTAATTCATAACAATAAGAAAAGTAAGGATACATCAAAAAATGCTATGACAATGAAGAGAAAAGAGAATTATTTCATTATTTTAAAAACACCAGGAGTAATGGGAATTAACCTGTTTTGTAATTTAATGAATGATTGATTCATTCTAGTTCAAGGTTGCACAAATTCAACATTTTGAGAAAGGCTTTTTGCTTAACCGACCCTATATTTATTTTTATAAATGACGAGGAATGAAATATAAAGATCCATTTAAATGAAATTACTATATGTCTTTAAATAATATTAATCAATATCTAAAACTTGAGGCTTGTTAAGTAATTTATGAAAGATGTACATAAAAAAAAAATTATGGAAGCGCCCCCGATCAACTCCTCATAAAAGTATTTAACTAAAATTTTTTACCATTTTTAAAAATATTTTTGGTACTTCAATTATACACTGCTAATTTATTGAAAGATTCTCAAAGATCAATAAAAATCAGTTTATATTTTTAGTAACAATTCAATGTCCTATTTTTATATGTTGTACAAACAGATTAAAATATTCATTTTATACCTTGATTCGTTAAAGAACACCTATGAAACTGAGAGTGTATAATATAAGGAGGATTAAGAGAAAAAAGGAACTCCCGATAAAGGTAAGATATAGAAAGGTATAAAACAAAATAATGAAGAACGATTTGACATCATAAGACTGGGTTCCACAATATGATTTCATACTAAAAAAAATCACTAGAAATTTAACGGAAAATTAAAAAAAATTCATAGACAACAAATTTTGGTCATATTTCTAATAATACATGAAGCCAAAATAAATAACATATGATTTGTCAAAAAAATTTAATAAAGCAAACATAGCAGTCATATTTTAAAAAAAATATTTATAAACAAATAATAAAAAGTTAAATCATTCATTACATATAATTTATTTATTTTCTTTTTATTAATTCTAAATATTAATAAAGAAAATTACTGCATTAACAATTTTCAAAATATTTTAGTTGGCTATTGCAATGGATGAATAATGGCTAAAAGATAAAATAATCAAGACCAGCTATCTAATTCATTATCAACTATTTTTTGGAAATCAACTTAGTAATCATAACACAGCTGATGATAATTTTTTAAACAAATATATTACAATAAGCATTTTAATCGCAAGATATTTAGATAGAAGTTATTATGAATGCATCTTTTTTCACGTCTTTATTTCAAATTTTCAGAATATGGATAATACGTATTATTTCCAGTTTTAATGGGAATATGATATTTGACATTCACACAATTCTTCCCTAAAAATATTTTTTGTTCCCCTCTTCCTAAAATCCCAGAAAGGCATCTTTTGTATCACATTCTTAGTTTTTAATAATTGTGTTCTAAAAAATAGTCTATGATAGCTTAAGAATAGGTAACTGATGTTGATAGGCTATCTAGAGGAAGAGGCTATCTTAGAAGAATTAACACTTGCATACATAACTCTTCTCTAATTACTAACTCATAATAATTTATAATTAAGAAATTATTTTTATATTCAAATTTGTATTAGTGTTACCCCAAATTAATTAAATAAGATAAATTGTTAAAAATATGATAATGTGCAACTGATATTGATTTATAATTTTAGTACAAGAAATGATTACTTTTCAAAACCTCATTGCTACTATCGAATTAACAAACTTTTTCACAAAAAATAATTTGTCATACAGTTATAAACAAAATATTAGACAATGAATTCATTTAGCCATATCTATAACTTTAAGTAATGTTAGGAAGAATGGTCAATGCTGATATTTACGTTTATGATTTAATATTTAATTGCGGGAAAATTAAGGCAAACAATGTGAGATGAGAGCTTTAGATAAAAAAAAAATTTGTATTAAAATTTGAGGATATGGATTGTAGGCAACTTCAAATGAAGAGATAAAGAAGAGAGAAGAAAGATGTTGCAATAACATAATGAAATACATCCTGCCCTCAGGGAATCCTTCTGAATATTCATAATTGTTTAGTAACAAGCCTCTTGTTTCTTTTTAAATTGTATTTGCTCTATCTCAAACTTTTAGAAAACATGCTCATCTCTCCATTCTAATAATGAAAAGGGATAATGCCGTGAAACTTTATATTTCAAGTGAATAATTAGTTTTAATTCATAGCTAAATTTGGATTGACGATAGTCGTTAAAATGCTTAATGCTGAACAATTATTGGCTCAGAGCAAGCTTCGGTCTATTGCTTCCATTGGAATCGAGTCTTAATTAAACTTTACTGCAAACCATTAATTGTTTTTCTAGGGAGCAATTGGGGAACGTTGCTTTCTTATTTATTTTTTATAAATTAACAAAAGGGAAAGAGATAGTAAAAAAAGGAGATGAACTACAAAATAGTATAATAATAAAAATGAAATATAGATGCGAGAGTTCTCAATTGTGAAAAACGTATTCGGCGCTATTGAAGAGATCGATACCGATACAACGGAATTTGATTGGCTCTTATTGACTATCACTAACCTAATTTAGAACTAACGATACTGAATCAATAAAATTATTAATAATGCATAGGTAAGTTGAATTTTAAGAGGGATGGAGCATCGGCATATCTTGCTTTTAGAAAATAAACTTTATAAAAAAAAGCTACTGGCGGATTATTAGAGTACTAGAAGAGAAGAGCTGTATCGATTGCTCAATCTTCGATATATTTATTTACAGAAGGGAATTCGATTTAAGAAAAGGAGAAAATTGTAGCCGGAGGGGGGCACTGGCCTGGTTCCAAAAGACCTTGCTCCCAAGGCTCTTCCTCCTCTATATTAGACAAAGCGAATACTTGGCTTCACTATCCCAGTCAAGGATCGGCTTACACATTTAGCGTCTTCGCTCAAACAAAACAATCTCCATTCAGCTCGTCGTAGCTCTCATTGGCATTGTCCGCTTTTCTAATAATGAATTTTCATCTCCACAACTTACTAGAAAGCGTCTGGATTCTATTAGGAGAGGTACCATAACTGCTGGGTACAAGTGGTTTATGGTCGTTATACGACATATAAGACTTTAAAGAAAGTAGATAAATTATTTCATTTTTTTTTTTACAATATGTTTTAATTGAAGTTACAATAAATGCATGTTAAAATAGTATACTATTATGAAGAGAAACTTCGTATTGTTATGTTGGCATCACTTTTCCCACTTTTCTATGTAAAGAGGGCTAGAGTATCTGCGGGGTCAGGGAGGGACAAGTAATTACCGTTACATTAAAAAAAAAAATCTTGGATCTTTTTTTATAACAATACAATATAAGTTAGAGTATTATAGACGATTGTGCTGTTGATTAATCTTTGAACTCACTGTGTCCCACGGGTGTAAATCTTAATACCACATGCAACAACCACTGCCGAAGAATGTTTTAAATAAATAGTGGTTATGAAGAATTTATTACAAATATCACGACCCATCCCACTTTGATACGCTCAGCCACCAAGGCCTTCATCTCCCTTACTTTACCTTAACGGGATTTTTACCGGGCCAGAGGAGAGGGCGGTAATGTCAGACTTAAAAGCTTCTGGTACCGGGACTCGAACTCATAATCTTCAGTTTATGAGATTGCAGAGCACAACGCATGTTTAGCACACGCGTTATTCCACTCGGCCGCCCTGCCCACTAATCAGTTCACCTGTTCCAATTGAGTTCATGAGTTCCGTCCTAGGTAAGGATTACCAATGGATGTTGTTAGCAGTCATGTCTTTCTCGCAACCAATGACGTGCCAGGTACACAGTTTAAAGAGCCGATATATTCCCTTGGCACTATAAAATGGATGGACTAATGGCTTGATATAGCAGAATAAATAAATTATCCGTCAGAGCCGAATCGAACTTGGTTCCAGGAGTTTGAATATAGTATCATGAGAAACATTTTTTTATAATCAACTAATCCATACAACAGAAGGGCTTGTTGCTGAACTAAAATAGATCCCAGAGATTCGTTATAATAATTTCTTCAGTTGTTGTAAATAAAAGAACCAACTCGCAAAAATCTTTTCAGCCTTTGCTTCACCCCTAAACGAGGTTGGTCGAATATTGTGCCGTATTCATTATCTTGGTTTAATATTGTAGTTACTGTCCTCAACCCAGATGAAAAAAAAAAGTTGGTGCCTTTTCTTACTTGGAGGTCCAATTAGTTTCTTTCTTATTTGCTTTTAAGATTTCAACTTCATCATCGAGCAAATCGATATAGTAGAGCGACATTATTTCTGAACCATCCTTTGTAGACTATCTACAATGTTGTAGACCGTG